ACCATGTATGTGAAAAGTTCAGCGTACGTGTGAGTGTGGCGGCTGCTGTAATGAGCAGGTTACATTTTGCCATCTCAATGAACCTTTAAGTCATATTCCAAGCTAAGTATTAGGAACTCCTTGCAGATAACCTGAGGACCTTTCCGACCAGTTTCAAACAGTTCCGCACACAAGCATCTAAAGTTCTGTCAAACTGGACTTAATCGACTTGACAGAACGTCTACAACCTGCCCAGCTTGTGCAGGCGCCTCATTAGTTATACAATACTCCAGTGTTAGCTAAGTAGGGAATTTTTTAAAAATACTTACTTAATCTCAAAAGCAGAGTAACAGAGTGGGAGAGAAACAGAATGAGATCTTCCATCTGCTGCTGCACCACACAGATGGCAGTAACAGTCCTGGCCAGGCCAGGAGCTTCATCCAGGTCTCTCATGTGGGTCCAGGGGCCCAAGCACTTGGGTCATCTGCTGCTTTCCCAGGTGCACTAGTAGGGAGCTGGAAGTGGAGCAGCTGCTACACGAACTGGTGCCCACACTGCAGGCGGCTCAACCTGTCCGGCCACAACGCCAGCCGCAGTTAAGTATACGTTACTGCCTACATTTTACTAGCGAGTAAACTGAGGTTCTGACAGGATTAAACACCTTGCCCAAGTTTATGGCAGTTGGTAGTGGCTCTTATCTGATTCTCGTCTGTTTGAATCCAAAGTCCGTGTTTTCTCTCCTCTGCTACTCACAATGTTGGAGTAGAACTATTTTAATGCAGGAGAGAACACAGTTGCTGACGCATAGAAGCAGTTTGTTTTACTGGGCCATGTTCAGAGAGCTGAAGGAATGTATGTCCTTCTCTTCCAAAGGGCTGGATCTTGGCTCTGACCCAGTTTAATCTGTCTGACCAGAGAACTGTGAGGTTACCCAGTAACAAACAGACCATGATTTTACTTAATGTGAATATGCTTCAGAGCAGAGAAAGAACTTTCGATCTGCCTTCTGGTTTATTCTCCATTAGATTCACTTTTCTCTCACTATCTCCCATCCCCACCATGGACAAAAAAGTGAGACCTGCGCATTCATTCCAATGTTTAGCAAACACTTTGACTCAGAGACCTAATTTGAAGCAAGCAAACAAACCAAAAGCCGTATCAGAATAAGAAATGACTTTATATTAAGTAGGCTTCAGGAATGGGTGTGTGGCCTAGAGGTTAACACTGGAGTTCAATTCCTGGCTCCGGCTCCTGATTCCAGCTTCCTCCAATGCAGACCTTGGGGGGCCATGGTGATGGCTACCATAACTGGATCTCTGCCACCCACCGGGAGGCCTGGATTGGGTTTTCAGCTCTTGGTGTTGCCATTGTGGGCATCTGGGGAGTGAACCAGTGGATGGGAGCTGGCTGAATCTACAGAAAAAAAAAAAGTAGGCTTTGAACATGCCGATTTTTTTTTTAAGATTTATTTATTTTATTTGAAAGCAACAGTTAGAGAGAGGCAGAGAGAGAGGGAGGGAGGGAGGGCTTCCACCTGCTGGTTCACTCCCCAGATGGCCACAATGGCCAGAGCTGTGCCAATCTGAAGCCAGGAACCAGGAGTTTCTCCTGGGTCTCCCATGTGGGTGCAGGGGCCCAAGGACTTGGGCCATCTTTTGTTGCTTTCCCAGGCCACAGCAGAGAGTTGGATCGGAAGTGGAGAAGCCAGGACTTGAACCAGCGCCCATGTGGGATGCTGGCACTGCAGGAGGAGGCTTTAGCATGGCCCTGCCAGATGTTTTTTGTCAAAGAAATGTTGCTAGTTTTTGTCAAGTGGTGGTTTATTTGCATACTCATCTTAAAACATGATTTTAATATGTAACTTGAAATGCTACTGGTTAATTTAGTCTGAAAATAGCTGATAGTGGACGCACACATCCCTGAAGCTCACAGCTCACATACACCATCCTGATACTACAGTGATTTATGTTGTCTGCAACAAAGCCCCAAAACACTTAGAAGTGGGTTTGCATTTGTTTTAAAGAACCAAAAAACTAAAAAGCTGTCACAAACTGCTGCTTTGCCACACACACACACCACTGTTTTACTGTCTAGTTTTTAAAAAGAGTTATTTATTTCAAAGGCTGAGTTACATAAAGAGAAGGGGAGGGGAGAAGCGGGGGAGAGTGAGAGAGAGAATTAACAATCTTCTATTCACTGGTTCACTCCCCAAATGGCCACAACGGCTGGGGCTGGGCCAAGCTGAAGCCAGGATCCAGGAGCTTCTTCCAGGTCTCCCACTTGGGTACAGGGACCCAAGGACTTGGGCCACCTTCCTCTGCTTTCCCAGGCACACTAGTAAGCAGGGTGCTGGATTGGAAGTGGAACAGTCAGGACTTGAACCTGTTCCCATATGGGATACAGGTGCTACAGGCCATGGCTTAACCTGTTGTGCCAGCCCCTACTGTTTAGTTCTCAATCCCGAGGTTTATACCCGGGATAAGAATGCTTTAGGCAGCAGTGAATGACACAGCCAACCACCAGGCTGAAGAGGGCTGGGGGCTCCAGGCTGCCACTCTGTGTTAATGACCCAGGATTTGGGGGCACGTCCACTCCATAAACAGCAGACATTGCTAACAGGGAAGCTCGGCCACAGGTCAGGAAGAGAGAACAGGCAGACTGAAGAGCGCACCAAGAAGATATAACTTCCCAAGGGCTGATGGCAGCCACAGAAGACCCGGTCCCCACTCTGTTGTAAGGAGCGGAACACTCCCGGGGGCTGCTGGGCCAGCTGCTGTAGTCTGGCCTTCGTCACGACGTTGACTGCTGTTAAATCACGGGCGAGCACACACTGCCGCACAAAACCAGCAGAATTTAGCAAAAGGAAGAGCCCTTTGCATCAGCGAGACACTTCACATGGAAAACCAGCTATCTGTGCTGTGTACAATTTTAAAACATCATCATTTGTTTCATTAAAAAATTATTTATTTGGAAGGCAGAGTGAGAGAATCTTCTATTCACTGGTGTGTACCTCAAATGGCTCCAACAGCCAGCAGGTCTGGGCCACGAGCCAGGAACTCCATCCTGGTCTCCCTCATGGGTGGCAGGGGTATTTGGGCCATCTTCCCCTTCTCAGTTACATGAGCAGGAAGCTGGATGGGAAGCAGAACAGCCAGGCCTGGAAGCAGCACCCAATACGGGAAGCTGGCATTTTCCAAGTGGCAATCTAACCTGCGGTGCTGTAAAGCTGGCCTCTGAACTGCCTTGTGTTGTGTGCCTGCCCTGTGCTCATCACTCTGTCCATATTAATTCACACACGAGGCTTTGCAAACTGGCAATTCTTAGCAAGAACAAAAACCTCACTATACCATCAAAGTGAAAAAAAAAAAACAAAAACAAAAAAAAAACACAAACAAAAAACAAAACACCACGGCCCTGGAGTCTTCCTCCTGAGGCAGGAAAGCTGACACAGTAGCTCCCGGACAGGCGGCTTCCACCTGGGGAAGGGGACATTTCAGGTCTTCTGCTCCCAGGCCAAGCTCTCACCCGCGGCCCTCAGAGGCCACTCAGCACCCCGGTGCGGCCTGACCCTCCCCTCCCCAGCTCTCTGAGCCATCTCAGTGCTCCTGCCTCCCTAGCCCTCTTCCCATCACAGGGACCGGTATCCTCCTCCTGCCACCCAGTGGGAGAGCCCCTAGGAAGGTAAGAGGCCCAGGTAGGACTTCTCCCCTTCTCAGAACATCACCTTGTTGGGACTGGACCTCTTGGTCCCCTCCACATTGCCAAATTGGATTTGGACCACGTGGCCCCCACACCGCCACAGCCACAGAGATCCTAGCGATTCTAACATGAAGAAGGGAGCAGATCTGTTAACACCTCCCCAGGGCTTGCGCCTGCTTCCTCAGGGTGCTGTCTTTGCAATGCCACACTGGCCCTTGGAATTTGACACATGCTCCCCTCCTTCCAGACACTGGCACAGCCAGACTGCCTGGTTTTCTCTCCAGTGGCCCTGGGGCAGTTCTGAGCCAGGAACAGGCCCAGAAACCAACAGCAAGTGCTTGACACGGGAAACTGGGGCCTGGGAGCATAAGGAACCTGGCCAAGGTCACGCAGCGTGGGATGGAGTCAGCTCTCAGTTTGCCACCCTCGCCACTCTGAGCCTATGGAACCACCCTGCACACAGTGACATCAAGTGGAAGCAGTGACATCTAGTGGGGCTAAACACTACTATTTCTATTTAATTTTTGTTTGGGATGTAAAGTTTATCAAATGAAAGCTTGATGAATGTATGAATCACAGGATGAATGAAATGATACAGGTACTCATTTCTTGAAAGCATAAATTCCATGATAATGTCCCTGTAAACAGCTCTATAAGGGTTTGGACAACAAGAGGTCAGTGTGGGGTCTGATGTGCTACAGTAGGTTAATTGCCACTTGTGACACTGGCAACCCATATCAGAGTGCTGGTTTAAGTCCTGGCTGCTCTGCTTCCAATCCAGCTCCCTGCTAATGCACCTGGGAAAGCAGTGAAAGATGGCTCAAGTGCTTAGGGCCCTGCCACTTCTGTGGGAGTCTCAGATGAAGTTCCTGCCTCCTGGCTAAGCTCTGGCTATTGCAGTCATTTGGGGAGCGAACCAGCAGATAGAAGACCTCTTTTTCTCTCTCTGTTGCTCTTTAAATAAATAAATCTTAAAAAATAAAAGGTCAGGGTATGTCACAAATGCATTTCATCTACTGCAAAGTATATTCACTTTTAAAAATGTGATGCTTAACGAAGGTAACGTTTGTTCACTATCCTAAATTAGCGAATGCCAGCCTGCACAAGGCATACACCAAAATCTGCACTTGACCTTAGCCAAAAGGCCAAGAGGCGATCTACCAGAAACCGTACCTGATCTATATGAAATTAATCAAAATGTCCTTCCAGGCACTTCAAAGGAACAAAGATGTGTGAAGAATATTCCAAACACTCATTTGCAGACAAAGAAACCGAAACTGGCATAAACTCATAACTGAAGAGCAGCGCAGTCAGAAACACAGTTTATAGTCAAAGTGGTTTGTTCATGTTTGTTAAGGTCAGAGCTGAAACAAACACACGTAAGTGTGAAGGACAGCCCAGGCGGTCCTGCCCCAACCAAGTCTGTCCTCGGGGTGCCAGCCGCACTCCCACGCAGCAGGCCTGAGCACAGAGCAGACTCAGCGTCCGCCAGCAGGAAGCGCTCGCTGTGCACACACGTCGGGTCCGCCCCTCTCAGGGGCCCAGGCTTCATGACTTGCTTTCTCCTTTCTCCTCCGGTACTGTTTCCCAGATGGGCTCCTTGATGTGTTCTGGTAGCCGTTCTAAGTGTGTCTAAGAAAAGAAACGAGACGAAACTGCCACACAAACGAACTTCAGTGCACTCCTTGGCTACAAACTGGATTTACTGTCAAATTCTCCCCACGTCTTCTCCTTTTATTCCGCTACCCCCACCCCTGCTGCCTTTTTCATAGGGCTCGGAAATAGAGGAAGGAGGTCTGAATGTATATAAAGCACTCCCAGATCCATCTGCTCCCCAGAGACCAAGGGGTCATCACTGCACATGCTCCCCAAGTTTTGACAACTCCATTAGCGAGGAGACTTCAGAGCGGCTCGGGGGAGGCCTGGGCTGCACGCAGGATTCTGTGGCCCAGGGGTGGGGTGGGAGCCAGTCCCTGGCCATTCTGCCTCCCAGCTAGCACGTGTGCATCCTTCCACTCAGTGGGCCAAGACCAGGCTGCCACGCATCAAAACAAGACAGATGTGCCCCAAAGAGGCAGAAATTCAAGTCCTACCTTTGTTACTTCCATGGCAACCCCTTCAGGCAAGTTTCGCTGAATATACTCCAAGTAGACATCCGCTGTGCTTCCAGTCAGACGCTCCAACTGGAACATCGAGCGTGAAAACGGTTCATGCTATGCCAAACCACAGGCAGAGAGGGGTGCAGACTGTTCTCCCCTAAGAAATCTTACACTGAACGCCAGTTAGACAGGATAGACTGAACCACACTTCCGCTCTGGCGGAACGGGATCGGGGGCACGGTCCCAACGTCCGCTCCTCCCAAGTGCAGTGCTGCGAAGCCTGGGCTCTGCGGAATCAAAGCCATGGACTTGAAAGGGCTTCACAAAGCAATCAGCTGAAAGGAAGCGCACGGCCAGAGCACAGGCAGAGTTAGTGCATGGTTTTCTGCGTGCCTCAGGGCAAGATATTTCTATCTGACACAGTAGATAGCATTTTGGATTTCTTTTTCATTTTAGAGTAGGGACTATGTCTGAATCATATTTGGCCCCTTAATGCCTAGGAAAAGTGCTTCTGACATAAAAGACACACAGTGGTGGTTCTAATAACATCTACCAGTCATTTACCATATGAGGGAAGCAGTCTAAGTACATCACGTAAGTATCTAACTTAATCCTCAACTTGTGGGATGGGGACCATCATTCCCATTCTACAAACGAAGGAATTAATGCAGAGGCCATGCAGCCAGTTACGAGTGAGGACCTGGACTTCAGCACTGGCAACCTGACTCCAGAACTCACGCTCTCTCAACCATACGCGCGTGCTGGCTCTCATGGATGTGTGGATGAGTAACAGATGAACCCAAAGCCCAGTGCTGTGAACCACAGACGTGGGAAAGCCCGTCAACTTGGGAAAACAGCAGAACTTAAAGGTTTGAAGTATGAGCAAAATTATTCCAATGTTATCTTTTTTTTTTTTTTTTTTTTGACAGGCAGAGTGGACAGTGAGAGAGAGAGACAGAGAGAAAGGTCTTCCTTTTGCCGTTGGTTCACCCTCCAGTGGCCACCGCGGCCGGCACGCTGTGACCAGCAGGAGCCAGGTACTTCTCCTGGTCTCCCATGGGGCCCAAGCACTTGAGCCATCCTCCACTGCACTCCCGGGCCACAGCAGAGAGCTGGCCTGGAAGAGGGGCAACTGGGACAGAATCCAGTGCCCCGACCGGGACTAGAACCCGGTGTGCGGGCGCCGCAAGGGGGAGGATTAGCCTAGTGAGCCGCGGCGCCGGCCCCAATGTTATCTTACTGTATAAAAAAATCTATCAGCATAATCTTCATTCTGGAGTTTAATAAACTATGTACTACTCGACAGGATGGCTTCACTTGAGCTTGATTTTCCTGTAAACACAACAGGACGTGTATCTTCTCTACAGTGACCTGCACGGACTAACAGAAAGTCAACCGGTCATCGTCTAGGGAAGCTGACAGGCTAGTGCCAAGTTCTGGGTATTCTGAAAATACCTGAATGTCAGAGGTAAACTCACCTCCAGACACCTGTAGAGAGTCCTCATTTCATACTGAACCCTGTGCTTCTTGAAAATGTGCACGGATTTGAGAAGCGTGAATCGCTCTATCTTCCTTGGAGGCTCGTGTCTGAAATTAATGGGCAAAATAATATACTCAAGTTAACTGATGGAAAAAGCTGAGTCACTGCTACCAAAGCGTGAGTCCACCACTCTGCAGGTCAGGCTCCCACTCAGTTACAGGTGACAACTACCACTTACAGACTTCTGTTTGTCAAGACTGTCATCTGTGACACTGCTGTCACGAAGCCCAGGCCAACATCAACACAGCAGACAGCAAGCAGCAGGAATGTTCTCCCACAGACCCAAAAACGAACACAACACTGGCACACGAGTGTGCACGCACACGCACGCACACACACACACCCCTGCTGTTTCTCCAACCCTTGAGTCCCTCATGTGATGAGCAACAGCATAGGGTTGAAGCCCTAGTCTGAAGCACCGGCATCCCATGTTGGCGCCGGTTCTAGTCCCAGCTGCTCCTCTTCCAATCCAGCTCTCTGCTGTGGCCTGGGAGAGCAGTGGAGGATGGCCCAGGTCCTTGGGCCCCTGCACCTGCGTGGGACACCTGGAGGAGGCTCCTGGCTCCTGGCTTTGGATCAGCTCAGCTCCGGCCGTTGCGGCCATCTGGGGAGTGAACCAGCGGATGGAAGACCTCTCTCTCTGTCTCTACTCTTCCTTGTAACTCTGTCTTTCAAATAAATAAAATAAATCTTAAAAAAAAAAAAGAAAAGACAAAAGAGGCAATTCTACCTGACCCTGGGGAGACTCCAAGACCACATGGAGCTCACCTTGTTCACACATGAAGTCACTGGGGGAGGGCTGCTATGAGGACAGATGGGAGGTAACATCCTACTGGCCAAAGATGACCGTACCCAGAGGCTGAAGGGACTGTGTGCCCTAGTGAGACCCCAGGCAGGCGGATGGATACCTTGCTTCTCCTTAAGTCAACAGCATTTCGAGGGAGAGGACTTCTTTCAATTTCCTTGTTTACTCACAGTGGTATTTAAAAACTGAACAGGAAGGGATGATCCTGCTCCGGACAATGCACCACAAAGCTACACTCTACCCATCGCGAGCACCAGCAGGCCAGGTTACCAAAGGTCATACTTACACTTTAATAGTGATCCCGAGTTCTTTAGCAGCAAGCACAGCGAAATACTCATAGCTGTCCAATACGGCCTTATCGTGGCCTTTTACTAAAATGGACAGTCGCTTATACAGTGTGTCTGGTTCATCAGAAACGGTTATCTAAAATGCCAAAGAAAAGTTTTAGTTGTGGCTCCTCTAACAGTTATAATGAGCAAATTTAACATATCACCCTCAACTGAGCAATTTTAGAGTTTACTAATGAATGGGGGTGAAAACGCTGAGTAACACTTTCCACTGTTAGCTTCAGGACCCGGGCACTGGCACCACAGCCCTCACAATCAGTTAGAACAGAGCGTGAAGCCAAAGGACTTTCACAGTAACAAAGTCCTAATGGAGCATTCCAACCTCAGCCATGGAGTCCCAGACTCACGAGGAGAGAGAACCGCAGGGCCTGTTAGCACAGGGGATTCAGTCAGAAGCCCGGGGCTGAGAGCTAAGCTCTGCCACTCACAGCTGAAGGACCACGGGCAAGCCACACGATCACGCACTTCCGCTTCCTCAGACACCAGAATCCCTATGCTAGACAGCGCGTACCATTTCGGCAGGGGATAAAGTAAGATTCAAGTATTGTAAAATACTGTTCTACAGAGGCAAGCTCTTTCTAGTCATAGTCTTTTTTATTAGGTTTTATTCCTGCACATTTTGTTTGCCCTGATATACACATTACTCATTCCTAATTAAAACATTTGACACTGACTGTACTTATAATTTCTACCTCTTCCTCCCTAATACCTAAAGACCTTAGAAATAATGGGTTTCATATTTCTGACTTTCTTCCAAGAGGTGAATTATCTTCATTTCATTCACCCATTAGACCAGTATATGATACTACTAATCCAATGATTCAGTGTCGTATTACTTCATCCCTGGAAGGAAATCTACCTACTAACCAGGAAGCTAGATATCCACTGCTAATTAATTCAAGCAGGGTTGCTGGAAGAACAAAATATACTGACATCCAATAGCATACGCTGGGGGATGGAGGAGGAGGAATATAGCCCTAAGATGTGTTCTGACTGAGTTCTCATGTGGTCTTAAAGATATTATGAATTGGTTGAAAATATTAAAGATCAGAAGATGTCGCATAAAACTTCAATTCAACTTGGAAGATTTAGACAACGGGCATCACTAGGTCTGATTTCCCTCACGGCAACAGTGGCCAGGGTAGGCAGCAGTTGGCTTGCTTTGCAGTGTGCCGCTTGCCCATCCTGCTGCCCTCCCTCAAGGCCTGGGCCCTGCAGGCTTCCAAGCTGGAGACCAAGGTTTCCATGCATTGCTGTGGAAACATATCCAGGCTCTATTAAGTGAAAGAGACAAACGGTGGGACACTATGTATAACACAACTCCATTTAGTGTGCAGACGATATAAGTATACAAAGGCAACTGTCTACAAGGACCCAGAACAAACTGTTAAAGGGGTTATTTTTTAGGAGTATAAATGGAAGTACCTGGAATTTGTAAGGACTCTTAGGCATTAAAAATAACACAAAAACTTTGGGCTGATGGAACATTGGCTCTGACAAGGTTACACAGCTATGTCTGCATTTCTGTTACTTGTGCTAATGCTCCTTCTTCCTGTGAACTATGACGCATGGCCCAGGCCTGGGCTCAGTACTTACAGTAAAATCAAAGACTTGAAGGCTACAAGAAAACTGTTTTCCAATAACATAACATCAAGTATTCTGCGTCATTAATTATTACAACTCTTTAAACTGGACTGAAAGCAGACTGGTCATTAGCACAGTTATTTGGGATAAATAACTTGTTCATCTAGAACTTACCTTGATACCCTGAAAAACAGCATGATCATCCTGACACATCAGAGAATAGGCACAGTAGACACTTGCCAGTATTCCAGAACGAAAGCTTAAAAAATTTTTTTAAACTGATGTATTTGAGTCAGAGAGGAAGAAAGAGATCTCCCATCCACTGGCTCACTCCCTAAATGCCTGCAATAGCCAGGGCTGGGCCAGGCTGAAGCTGGGAGCTGGGGACTCATTATAGGTCTCCCACGAGGGCGGCAGGGACCCAACCACTTAGCCATCAGCTGCTCCTCACAGGGTGTGCATTAGCAGGAAGCTGGAATTAGGAGCAGAGCCAGGACTTGAACCTGTGCACTCCAACATGGGATATGGGCCTTCTAACCGGTATCTTAATTACTAGGCCAAATGCCCAGCTGCAGAACAAATTATTTTATTCATAAAATGCTTGGAAAACAACCCCAAATAAAACAATAAGGAAAATTCAAGAAATAGAGAATACATACCATAGGTTTGGTCAATTCCTTAGGAACGTCGATGTGTAGATTTGAAAACTGTACCCACTTCATATTGGTACTGCTGGGGGCGGGGGGGAGAGAAACCTAAGTTAAAAAAAAAGTACAGGAACCCACTTTCATGCTTAATGCAGCACATTCAATTGTATACTTACAGAAGAAAACCCCCATTTTTGGTTGCACTGTCCTTAAAACCATTTATGGGAAAACTCCCCAAGTCCTGGAAACAAGAGCAGGGGGAACATGCGTTAGAAATGGGGCTGACTGCCAAGCTATTCATGGCTTCCACTAGAAATCATGTGACTTCACCTTCTCATTATTATTTTACAGAATAATCGTATTTCAATATTATACTTATTTTGCCTGAATATTTTCAAACAATAAAAATAATTAAGCATTTTTATAACCTAAGCTATTAAGATTTGGAGGAAGAATTCTAAAGCAGAGTTACAGAGAAGTAGGGGCAGAGAGAGAGGTCTTCCATCTGCTGGTTCACTCCCCAAACGGCTGATCGGAAGCCAGGAGCCAGGAGCTTCTTCAGGGTCTCCTACTCGGATGCAGAGGCCCAAGCACTTGGGCCATCTTGTACTGCTTTCCCAGGCCAAAGCTGAGAACTGGATTGGAAGCGCGACAGCTGGGACTCTAACTGGCACCCAAATGGGATACCGGTGCTTCAGGCATTGGCTTTATCTGCTACACCAGAGCGCCAGCCCCTAAAGCACTCTTTCCAAGCATACATATTTTTTGGCGTAGCTGGGACAATTGGCTTACAAATGAAAAGCTATGCAGTGCACACTGGAGCTCATTCCCAGCATTAACTACTGTGCGGCAAACTGCAACACTTCATCATTTCCAAATCCTCTTTTGTCGGCTGCCCCTAGTGGGACAAAACTTTCTAGTTTCAGGAAACTTAAACAGTACTGTGCTTGCACATAATGGTTTGCAGCCCATGGTTTTTCTTTTAAGCTTTCCTGAGATTTAAAAGTGTAACGTGAGGGGAGTGTTTGGCACAGCAGTTACAATGCTGCTTGCGACGCCTGCATTCCATACCCACATCAGAGCGCCCGTGTTTGAGTTCTGGCTTGACTTCCAATCCCACTTCCTGCTACCGTACACCCTGGAAAACAGCGGATGGCGGTTCCAGCAGTTGGGTCCCTGTCTCCTATGTGAATTTTTTTAAAAAGAATTATTTATTTATTTGAAAGTCAGAGTTACAGAGAGAGCAGAGGCAGAGAGGGGGGGGGGGGGTCTTCCATCCGCTGGTTCACTCCCCAGATGGCCGCAGCGGCCGGAGCTGCGCTGATCCAAAGCCAGGAGCCAGGAGCTTCTTTGGGGTCTCCCATGCGGGTGCAGGGCCCAAGGACTTGGGCCATCCTCCACTGCCTTCCCGGGCCACAGCAGAGAGCTGGATAGGAAGCAGAGCAGCCAGGTCTTGAACCAGCACCCATATAGGATGCCGGTGCTTCAGGCCAGGGCATTAACCTACTGCACCACAGCTTCGGCCCCCACCTATGAGAACTGAGATCTGTGCTTCTGGCTTGGCCTGGTCTAGTCTGGGCTGTTGCGGGCATGTAGGAAATAAATTTGCCTTCCAAGTAAAATAAAAATAAATAAAAAATTCTAAAGCCCTAAGATTTCTGCTAAAAAAAATGTAACCTGAGAAATTAGAATAACAATAAGGATTATTGAAAATACAATGAAGATGAAAATAACAGTTCAGCACAAGTGAAGTTTAATTAAAACAACTGATGGCACCTAAATATGTTTTAAAAGCCTACTCTTAGTTTTATTATCCTTTCTTGTTCCTAACCCAAAATGAAGATAAACCATAGCTTTCCCAGGGCCAAGGGGGAAAATCAAAAGAAGTGAAATCAGGCACAATACAAGATAGTACAGGTTGTGTGTGCACCATTCTTCATACACAGTCACACAGAAAATTCCCTCCTTGGGGCCAATGTGTGGTGCAGCAGGTAAACCCACCGCCTGTGACGCTGGCATCCCAAATGGGCACAGGTTCCTGTTCCAGCTGCTCCACTTCTGATCCAGCTTCCTGATAATAGTCTGGGAAAGCAGAGGAAGATGGCCCAGGCCCCTGGCCCCTGGCCCCCATGTGGGAGACCCTGATGAAGCTCCTGGCTCCCGCCTTCAGCCTGGCCCAGCACTGGCCATTGCAGCCAACTGGGGAATGAACCAGTGCTTGGAAGATTGCTCTCTCCCTCGCTGTCTGTAACTTTCAGAATAAATAAATAATTAAAAGGAGTGCCAGTTCCGTGGCGTAGCGGGTAAAGCTGTTGCCTGCAGTGCCAGCATCCCATATGGGCACTAGTTCTAGTCCTGGATGCTCCTCTTCTGATCCAGCTCTCTGCTATGGCCTGGGAAAGCAGTAGAAGATGGCCCAAGTCCTGGGGCCCCTGCACCTGTGTGGGAGACCTGGAAGAAGCTCCTGGCACCTGGCTTCAGACTGGCACAGCTCTGGCCGTTGCAGCCATCCAGGGAATGAACCAGCGGATGGAAGACCTCTCTCTCTGCCTCTCCTTCTCTCTCTGTGTAACTCTGACTTTCAAATAAATAAAATCTTTAGAAAAAAAAAAAAAAAAGGAAAGAAAGTTCCCTCTCTACATTTTAGTGACCCCACAATCCAGTTGTGCAAAGGAGCACAGGTCTAAGGGAACGGCACTTCCGGTTTCTGTGTTCCCAGCAAACCTCAGCTCTCACAAGGTCAAGCCTAAAGTGTTGTTACAGCCACAAATCAATCTTAAGAAGCCCTTACACTTTTCTCTTTTGTTCTTTTTAAAATTCGGTCTGGTTCTCCGGGTGTGGTCTGAGGACCCCTGGCAGGGTCTAGGGGACACTTTCAGGAGCTCCGGCAAATCAAGACACTTTTCCTAGTAACACAAGGCAGTCTGTACCGTGCCACTCTCAGTCCCCAGGCAGAACCGGCGAAGCTTTCTGGAGGCTGCACCAAAGCCCAACTGCAGGGACATAGCCCAGAACCCAGCTGTCTTCCACTAAGCCAGACACGCAAGATTTTTGCAAAAACGCAAACTACTGCCACTCCTTACTAAATCTGTTTTTGTTTTGGAGAATATGGGTAATTTTCAGCAAGTGTTCATTACGTTCCTCCGTAACTAATTTATCCGTGTTACTTTTAAAACAGACTTGTTACTTTTAAACGAGATACTGTCTTATTTTGGAAAACTAGACATAGGTAGCTAACGCCACAAAAACCAAAGCTCTCTGGAGTCCCCCCTCCTTAAGTGTAAAGGGATCGACTCTGGGCGCAAAGCGCTGGAGAACCGCTGCTTAGGTTTCTTGCTTCCGCTCCAAAGAACAAGAGTGCATCCAACTCCTGCCCCTGACTTCAGAGAACCTCATCTAGATCTTCGAAGCCCTGGATGTCGGGGGAGGAATCTCAGTTTAGATGCGGGGCAAATATCCGCGATCTCTGTACCAGCTCAGCCCCCGGTTTCGCGACACAAGCTTCCCGTCATCTTGCGAACAAGAAGGAACGGGTGTTGGAATACACATATGCTCAATATCCTTTCCAGCTCTGACCTCCTACAATTCTTGCTCCTGTCTTTGTCCTAACAGTAGTTTATGTTTAATCCCATGAGAGGATACGAGATAAAACCAGCACCCTTTTCCATCACCTTCTTGCAAACAATAGCCCGCGTGAGAAGTACAGGGGAGGCCTCCTGACGGGCAGCAGGGCGGATGGCAGCAAGACTTGGTGACATCTGACCCCGCCAGCCCGCCCGGCCTCCCCAGCCCGCCTGGTACCTGCCAGAGGCGCCGGCAAACAGACACCACCGCTGACCGCGCCGCCATCTTGCTGCCCCGACCTCCCAGAATTACTTCCGGGGTCACAGCGGCGCCCTCGGATCATAGAGTTTGCATGAGGAGAGAGCGTATCCTCGTGTTCCGGCACGGGAACTGCCACAGAGACGTGAATTCCAGCTGTTTTATGGGTGAGATGACCCCCGCCCTGGGCAACTCCTGAGCTCGTTAACCTTACGCCTGCCTGTTTCTGAAGTTACCAGGTCACATCAGTGTTCTCCCTTCAAGGCGGGTTTGTCCTGTGGATCCTGTTTTGTTGTAGGAAACCACGTGTTTGGAGAAATACAGTATATTGACAGGTTATCGCTGGGTAGTGAAATAATGATTGATTTGTTTTCTTAAATATTTTCAGAATTTTGACAAAATGTATATTCATTTAAAAAAATTTTAAAAGCCTCCACTACTACAGCGTCCGGGTTCCAATCCCTTACCTTAAAACAATTACCTTCTAGTCAAGGTCTTTAACTCTTACCAGCTTTCCCCAGTGCCAGCCATCTTGTGCTAGTGCACAAGATGCCCTAAATATTCCTAAATCATTCTTTTTTGTATGTTCCTCTCGTATTTCAGAATTTGCAATGGCTGCCTTCACCTAGGATAACAACCTAAAAGTATTTTGTCTAGTTATTACTGTCATTGTAATTTAGTTTCAAGTAAAAAGGCTTATAATTGGGGTTATAATCTCCCACTTGTGCAGATTTCAGTTTTATTTCCCCAGAGTGCCTTCACATACGCAGTTTATCATAATGGAAAACTCTAGACTTACAATCAGGAGATGTGGTTTCTAATCCCAGGTTTGGCACTTAACTGAGTGGCTTCCCCACCCTGGGACTCAATTTTCTCATGTCAAAAAGAGATGACAATAACAGTTCCTACTTCAAATAGTTGCTCTGAGGGTTCAGTGAGATACTGACTGTGGTGTTTAGTACAATGCCTGTCACATCATTATGCGTGATAAATGTCATCCACTATTTGTAATACAAAGTTGCTTCTACCTCATCTGCTTCAACAGTTGTTGAAAAGATGAAGAAGATCAAGTTTATGAGAACAAGTCATGGTGTCTAAATAAAGTACTGTGCAGATGTAAAGATGTTTTTGTTTTTATTCCTTGCAAGTAGGTATTACTTACCCTGTGTTGCGAAAAAGAGAACCAAGGAAGGGGTGGGAAGATTTGCCAAACATCTGACAAGCTGATGAAAGGCCTGGGAGCGGAAACCAGTGTTCTTATCCCTCAGGCTGGCCTCCGTCCTCGTCCTCGGGAGGTGTGGCCGAAGTGTCCAGCATGCCCCTACACCCCAGCGTGGAGTGCTTCTGCCACGCTGGGCTGAGCCCCACCTCGGTGACCTGCCTGCTGTCTCAGAGTTAGTCTCCCCAGTTCACACGGAGGCAGTCTCTATCAGAGGGCTTTCCAAAGCCTCCCACCCCTGGATGCAGCATTCACTACCTGCCCCCTTCGGGATAACCTCGCAGCCACAGTAGTGGTGACTACAACTTGCAGGTGACTGTCACTGTGGCATCTAATGTGAAGGTGTAAATTTTACCTGAAGTCAGAGATAAAGTGGCTCACAAAGTCATTGTTGAGTGTCCGGAGTGATCCTGAACCAGTGACCATCTTCAGAGTCCACCTGAACCAGTGACCACCTTCAGAGTCCTGGTTCGCTGTCTTTTCTTCCCCTGAGTGTGCTGGTTCTGATTCGATGATGAGATCCACTTCTATCTGGGTCTTTCTTGGCGGAAAGAACTAGAGGTAGGCACTCTTCCACCGTCTCAAAAGAAGAGGGGGTTTGTTTTATTTTAAAGATTTATTTATTTATTTATTTATTTGAAAGGCGAGTTACACACAGAGAGACAGCTTTCATTCACTCCCCAAATGGCCGCAGATAGCCAGGGCTGGGCCAGGCTGAAGCCAAGAGCGAGGGTGTCTTCTAGGTTCTCCCATGCGGGTGCCGGGGCCCCTCTTCCACCGCTTTTCCAGGTCATCAGCGAGGAGCTGGATTGGAAGTGGAGCAGGGGGGAATCGAACTGGCATCCATAGGGGATGCCAGTGTGACAGGAGGCAGCTTAACCCTCTAGGCCACAATACTGGCCCAGAGGGGGCTTATTGTTAAGGACCTGGAAATGTGCTGAAAGCAGCCCAAGGGGCTGGCTCGCAGTCCCTTCTGCAGAGGCCAAACCCGCTCTTTTTACTGGTGGGCTCTCTCTGCTAAGGAAGTTTCTCCTTCCTCAGGGCTTGGCCTTGCGTTTGGCTACTCACTGTTTCCCTTGAATCACCAAGTTTCTAAATTCTTACAATTGTGGACATTTGTTCTGGTCTCTCCACCTTCCTGGGCTAAGCCATGTTGAGTGTCACCAAACAGCCTTAGTCCTAATGGCGTTGGGTCAGGTGCCAATCTGTTCCAATTACCTGGGGGCAAAACCTACAGTGTTTTTTTCCAACAGTCGGGCTGTGGACAGGGCTCTTTGGCCTCGTATGTGGGCTTGGATAGTGTTCTGAATTTGGCCTATCCACTGTGGGTCTCTTCCCTACAGTCTAACCTTTCAAACAGCTAACAGAGGTGAGCAGCAGGCCAGTGATCCTTATCAATGCACTTGGCTTTCTATCCAGGAAAAATAAGAGTAGACCAGTATTTCTAAGTTAAGTCATATTTTGATTGTACCAGTTGTTTCTAAAGACGGCCCTTTCCAAGATTCTCTTACATAGAGGAAGTTACCAAGCCTTTTGCTACTTTATACAGAGGTATCTATGAGCCAGAGATCACTTAGGATTCATTTGGGATGAATTAAAATGTCTTCCTGGCCACATTTTGTTTATGTCCACATTAAAACTCGGCTACGTCTGTACAACCCTGCTGGCTGGCTGCGGCTGAGCAAACTGGACTGGGAATCCATGGGAGTCAGAATCGACTTTAGGGAAACTCAAAGGTGCTCCCTTTCTCTCTGCAACCCTCCCCCGCCCCCAAATAAGCATACATGGAAGACTAGAGAAGTGATTAACAGTTGCAGAGCACCTGCTATGAACAGCTGTGTGTGTGTGTGTGTGTGTGTGTGTGTGAGGTTAGGGAGTTTAGCATATTATGAAACACGACCTTTGCTCTTTGCAGTGGTGGGACTGATCAGTTCCCGGTCCCTGTACGTTCCTTCCAGGCGTTACAGTTCTTGGCAGGAAGCACTCGTCATGTACAGCCATCTTCATACACGCGCTTCACCATGTTTAAAACAGGATGCAGGGGCCGGCGCTGTGGCGTAGCGGGTAAAGCCGCATCCTGCAGTGCCGGTATCCCCTATGGCCGCAGGTTTGAGTCCTGGCTGCTCCACTTCTGATCCAGCTCTCTGCTATGGCCTAGAAAAGCAGTGGAAGATGGCCCAAGTCCTTGGGCCCCTGCAGTGCAAGGGAGACCTGTAAGAAGCTCCTGGCTCCTGGCTCCTGGCTTCGGATTGGAGCAGCTGCGGCCATTGCGGCCAAGTGGGGAGTGAACTAGCGGATGGAAGACCTCTCTCTCTGTCTCTCTGTCTCTCTCTCTCTCTCTCTGCCTCTCCTTCTCTCTCTGTGTAACTTTGACTTTCAAATAAATAAATAAATATTAAAAAAAAAAAACAGGATAGAATAGTGCGTGGGACACGGTGGCTCATGAGAACTTCCTGGAAGAAGACTGGATGCATATACATTGCTTGGAGACTAATGGTTCTTTTATTTGATGCAGGATTGTCTAAGCCAGACAGCTAAAATGCATGTAAAAAAACAAACCAAGATCAAGGTCTTGCCCAGGCATACCTCAAAGGAAATTCTTCATGCAATGCAAAATTTCAAATTTGTCCTCAAATTGGCTGTCTACCATTAAAAAGGAAACACAATTAAAATTTACAAATCTAGATTTAAAATAGAAACGAATCAAGATGGGTAGGGACTTCGTGGAGGATTTGTTAGGAAAAGAGGCGTGGAATAGAAAGGAGGCAGTGTACGAATTTACAGCCAGAATAAAATAAATTTACAGAATTTATTCAGAGAAAATAAATTCCGAGAGATGGTGACCAGCTGCCCACGTGCACACTGCTGGAACCTTCGGCAGAAGGCCTCGACCTCCAGGGGCCGGGTCTTCTTATATTTCAGGAGAGTTAAGGGTGGGGGTGGGGTGGGGGCAGCAGGCTGAGGGGAATTCCTGGAACTGGGCGGGGCCTTGGGAACCTAAAAGAATGCAGGGTGGGGTATGAAGGCAATAGGGTGGGAGACCCAACTGAGAGTCAAGGGCAAGGAATACATTCCAGTGTTTATGGATCTCTTGGGCAGTGAGCAAGAATGGCTGAGGCTTATGTCTTTGTTCCATCAGGATTTACTGTAGGGAGTCTCTGTATGATACTGGTCTCTTAAACAACAGCTTGAGTAATAGACCGAGACCACTGTTGGTAGCAGAAATGTTACCCTTATCTAGCATTGAGGAGTTACATCAGTGGCTAGAAAGAAGGAAGTTTTAAGCCAGAAGAAACTCAAAAAGATAATATTTTTATTTTTCAGAGCAGCTGATGCAATATTGAATCAGGTTTTCACAAATAAATATAACAGTGTCTATTTGGTTACATCTCTATTTGATGAAGGCCCACCTATAGGACTTGGCATACATTTCCGTGAAGGCTAATGACTGGAACCTGCGACAGAAAATTCTCCTGGTTCCGTTTCTGACAAAGTACTGTGAGAATTTTAAAAAGATGCTTGTCCCTCAGGGGAAAAACAACCTAGAATGCCCCAGTTTTGTTTTGTTTTTTAAGGAATGCACCTTTTCAGGACAAGTCTATAAAACATTTTTATTTATTTGTTACATATGATGTTTAAATATAACTTTGCTTTCAAGCTTCAAACTTTTTTTTAACCCCTGGTAAAATAAGACTTTTGGTTCACCTTAACAAAAACTGACCTAGGAAGAAACATTTTTAGCAAAATGTTATAAAATTCACTAGAAAATACTGTCCTCTTGTTTTTGTTTTTGTTTTTTTTGCCAAAATGTTACATAAAATCCTTATTAAAAATACACACGTTACAAAAGAAAAATTATGAATATGCTATACATAGTGCTTTGATATGAACCAAGGGACTTGCATTCCGGCAACACAGTTAA